TCGTTCTTGATTTTTATCTTGAGAATTACTTGTGTGTTTTCTGATTTTCAAAACATATATCTTGTCTTCTATTATCATCATTATAATTTTGGTTTTTGAGACAAAGTCTTGCTATGTAGCCCAGGCTGGCCTTGAACTCAGCAATCCTACTGTCTCTGCCTCCCCAGTGCTGGGATTAGATCCTGTGTCACCAGGCCCTGCTCCTGGAGTGTTAATCCTGTGCTTCACCTGAACCTGGACCAGAGCTCAGTTATTGCCTGAAAGTTGCCTCCCACCCTTCTGTGTACTGAGATCCAGATCTCCATGGTGATGGGACAGGAAGTGGGGCATGGAGAGGTGAGGGGACAGGTGCTGGATGTCACCCTCAGCGCCAGTGCACGGGGTACATTTCTGCTGCTCATAAGCACCCGGTCATGGGCCGTGTTGTGAAGCACAAGAGAATGAATTAGGGTCTCCGGTTGTGTGGTTTGTTCTATTGTAGATCACCATAAACTTAGCTAAAGTTTGTCAGAATGATGGGAAAACTTATTTCTCACTCTTGTGCTTGTTATTTCTCAACATAGTATTTGTTTATGTTGCCCGAGCACCACACATGTGGGCATATTATAATATCTGCTTGCAAATCTAAAATTCACATGTGTGTAACCATTGGAAAGAAATATAATCTTTTCTATAAGAAACTCACGAGATGTCCTCATGAAGTAAACATTAAAACCACAGCTATTTCTTTACTGTGTTGTGTGTATATGTATATATATATATATATCACTGTAGAATATAAGCATGTAGTTGATGATTTTAAAATTTTACATATCAGATGTCATTTGGAAACCTCGAAAGATGTGATGATGATGTTTACCTCAAGAAAAACACAAAATAATTTCATCTCAGTCAGTCCACCAAAATCTAAATTAAAACACAATAAAACTTAATTATACAGTTATATCAAATTAGGAGATACACTTATTCTTTGCTTTTGCAAATGAAATCATTGCATACCAGCAGTACAATATATGCCTTATAAAGTTTTTCAGGAAATATTTTCTTTGATATTTAGTTCAATTTATGCAATGTCATTATTTGGAGCTAAAAATACAAAATTTGCACACAAATCAACACTGTTTACAATCACAGAATATGAACATTGGAGTTTTATTATAATACAACCAAAATATACATTTCACAACTTTTATTTTATACTACAAGACTACATTTCTTTTAAAATAGCAAAACTATAATTTCAAAGGTGATTGCTAACCATTCACAAATAGGATTAAATTATATGACTAATTATGGCTTCTCACAGAATTTTGCCCTTTCCCCCCAAAAAATCACCTACCTCAAACCTTCCATAAATACTTTATACTCCAAAATATTTAAATGAGGGAATCAGTCCCTGCACACTCCTGTCTGCACTTCCTATGTGTGGAAACCAGGCTTTCAGACTTCAGTCCCTTAACCTCACCTGTAAGCTGAGTTATTTAAATATTCTTATCACAATGAGAAAAATATACCTTTCTACGAAATCATTGCAGGCGTCTTTTTTTTCTACATTATCCATAAGGCTAATCAGTGAAAGTATGTTGCCTAAGACAAATGCGACATTTAAAAAGAGGGGATGTCAGTTTTGATTTACATTTGTCTTAATGATACATATGAAATATATTTAACTTTGACAAAAAACAGAGTTTAAAGAATGATCCTGCTTAACTTTGATGTAGAAACATGAATGATACCAAGTTTCTCTTAGAAGTTCAATTTTAGTAATTTTGAAAAATAGGCACTGAGGGCTAGGGATTTAGCTCAATGGTGCCACCGCCTGCCTTGCAAGCTCAATGTCCCAAGTTCTATCCCTCCCCCTAAAAATAGGCACTGAGATTGTTAGCTTATCTTTTAGTGCAGTCCGTGCAGCTCAACAAGAATAAAGCATAATACCATATGAAGAACCAAATATAGGACAAAAAAATTCAAAACTAAAACCATTTTGTTGTGAGCATATTATAAATGAGCATTATTTAATCCACAGAATTATGAGACTGAATTACACTTCTACTACTTTTATGGCCTTTGCAAATTACTATTTTTACAACTATTTTACATTTCTTAAATAATTTAATTTTATGAACTCTTTGTTTAATCACGTGAATGTAGTATTCTGAGCTTTTGGGAAAAGAAAAAAGTTCTCTATAAGCTAATGAAGCTGTCTATCTTTAAAGAAACTCTTAAAGTTCCCAGTAAAGTGGATGTAAATGAACGCAGACAGCCTGGTTCTGCTCAGCAGCAGCGGGCACTGTGCTGCCTTGTGGTGCGAGCACTGGTGAAGGAAAAGACAGAAAAGCCGGAACTACAACGTGATGCCCAGAGAGCTGATGGGTTAGGGTACTGGAAACCACTGTATTAGCTGTGATTTGATGTTTCGTTATTTTCAAACAGCTTGGCAGGATCCGTGGTGAGAACGCAGTTATTGTTTTTGTGGACTGAATGTAATCACACAGTTGCTATAGGTGTTCTGAACCAGTTAAAGGTTAAAAAAGTAAATGCAGTTCAGATATCCTCTATCTTTAAAAATACATATAAATCTTTGTCCTCGTTTTGTTTTATGAGATTGTATTATACTAATATTCCCAATATATTTTAAGTATTTATCATAAATTAACAGCTTTATACTTAAAGCAGCCAGAGTTTTAGACAGGACATAAAATAAGCTCCCAAAATGTCTGAATAAGTTCAAAAGGAAGGATTTCAAAAATGGTGTGGATATGTGGACATTCACTTTCGAATGAAATATATTTTCAAAGGTCGATCCTAATAGTAAACCTCATGCTATAATTTTTTCCAAAGTGGTGTGCATGTGGGCACTGTGCCTGCTACCCAGTTTGTGAGGATCGCATACAGACCCAGCCCAGGCCCGCACGGTCCGCGAGCCTGCCTGGCTCCCGGAAGGCCCGTCAGCCCCTCCGCGGTGGCAGACACCCCTCTCCTCGGCCGCTACCTCTGAAATTTGTTCTGCTTCGCTGCTACTGAAGTTGAAACCTGACTTCTCCTTAGAGTGAAAGTCCGCCGATATTCCTAAGTGTGACATACAAAGAGGGCGCTGGGCCTCACATGCCAGTGTGACTGCTTTGAAACAGGCGAAGTGCCAAGAAAACCAAGGCCAATCACCCAGGGCACTGGGAGCACGGAGACTAACGGGCTGTCGTGAGTCCTCGCCAGGGTGTGCACAGATGTCCTTGGCGAAGAACCCAGCGAGGGACAGATTTTCCACCTCCCCTGCAGGCTGTGGCTGCTGGGACAGAAGGGGGCGAGGCTGCGGGGCTGGAGGAAAGGTGAGCTGTGCCTGCTCCAGAGTCAGGGACCCTGTGCAGGGACGCGGTAGAGGGGCCCCGCGAGCAGGAGCCCGCTCACCGGTGGGAGCAGCCTGGCCATGCCGCGGCGGGAGGCTGCTTTCCTTACCTGTGGTGAGCTTGGTTTATCGCTAAACTGCTGCTGGAAGTACAACACCCCACTCCAGACACGCAGAGGGTTGCTGAAGAAAAGGCCACGAGGGAGTTCATTTGGCCCTTCCGTCGTGGAAACTTGGCGCTTGCTCTGTTACTGAGCGGTACCCACCCGCTCCCCACCAGGGCTGTCTGCTGAGTCCACTGCCCGGGTGCTGACCCGGGCGTCTTCTCTCACTCACTGCATGCGGACCACAACTCACTGCCCAACAGCGGAAGCAATGGAACTAACTCATACACACAGAGAGGTAAATACGTGAAAAGGAGGAAAGACCGCTGGTTATAAATACAATACGTTCAGCCTTCCCGTGGTCCTGACAATTCTCTACTTTTCCTCAGACTTTTGCTAGCAGTTTGTCATCATATAGATTTTTGACAGATGAATTACAGCTACCTACCTATATTCCGTGAAAGGGCCCGTTACCTCCCGTCTCCTTTATTTGGGGTTGTGTTTCCTTTGCACCGGCATCTGAGGAAGTTAGGCTGCCTCTGCCTCTGTCTCCCCACAGCCCCGCCGCCGGTCATCCCGTTCGGACGCCACGTGCATCTGGGTGTCTCCCTTATTGTATCACAATCCTTTCCCACATCTACCTTAGCAACACACGAATCAAGCATTCTGTTCCTGGAGATTTCAGCGTCCATTCCAGAAACCCTCCGCCGAGCCCGATTCCTGCCCGTGAGCCTGTTTCTCCTCACAAATCGTGAGGGGTCTGGAGGGGTGGCTGGGCCCTCGGCCGGCGTTCTGCGCGGGTCGGGTCTGGTCTGTTCCCGCGTGGCCTGG